CCGGGTCTGTGGGGAGCTGGGGCACTCCTCTTGCAGCGCTGCAGGGTTGGGGGGATGGTCCTCATGTTGCTGGCTTTCGCACAGCCTCAGCCGGCCGGGTCACATCATCCTGTGTGAATCTTCACGTGTAGTTTGCAGAAGCGGTGTGATTTCTAGCTCCTCTATTCTGGGGGGCAGGTGTGGGAAGCTGTGGCCCTAGCAGGCTCAGAAACCAAGAGACAGACAGAGATATTTTCTTTCAACATCTCCGAGGATGGGGACAGTGGGTGACACAAGGCTGTCCTGGCCTTAGCAGGAAGGACTCTTCGCCCCCTGGTGTCAATCTGCCCGTGCTGCCATTAAATGCCCACTGTTAATTCCTGGATGCATTTTGTCTCAACTGAGGGGTGACCAGGTTGGGTGAGATAGACTTGGATGGCTTAACCCCTTGCTTTCAGCCCCTCCAGCTCCAGGCTGACCTGCTTATGTCAGGAGGCTCCATCTCTCGGCTCCACAGTGCTGATGGAGGCACGTCCACAGCCCTTCGGCCCCTCTGGTTTGGGATGGGTCCTCTCTGCAGGTGGAGGAGCTGCTCTCTGCTCCTTGCCTTCCTCCCTGCATTCACAGCCTTGGCTAGGAGGTGCTGGAGGGGAAGAGCTGCCTAACGCTTGGGCTGATGCTGGGCATCTTATCTTCCCCTTTCTTCTCCGTTTTGAAAACAACCCCCTTCAGCACCAGGAAGATTTCTTGTCCCAGGGGTCAGCTTTCTATTGACACCTTGGGTTCCTCCCTCCCTTTCATTTCATGTTACATTTCTTATTGTTCATTCACTGGAAAAAGTCCCTCGCCATGCTTTGTGCTTCTCCATGGCAGGACTCACTAATCACATCATCTCCCAGCACCAGGTCCCAGAGGCTTCTGCTTTAGAGTGAAAAAATATTATTGTCTAGGCACCACGATCCCATGAAGTTGCCTCAAGCCATTCTATACAACTGAGGGTAATTTCATAAGCGATTATGGATTTTGCGTCTCGGGGGTTTACCTCTCCTCGGGAGCTGTTCTTAACCTGCAGTATTCATCAGAAGCAGCTCTGAGAGCCACGCTTTCATTGCCTGGCTAGGAGGGGGTCACAGCTAGCAGTTTTGGGACAATCACCATGAAAATGGCCAGACCCATGTGCTGAACTGGTGCATGGACTGGTGTGTAGCTGGAGGACTTCGAGGTGCTCCTGGCCCTGGATGTGTCTGCCCCTGTGCTGGGGGCATCTCCCTGTCACCAGGGTCAGGCAGCGTTCAGCTGCAGGCTGCCCGGAGGCACCGTTGTTGCAGATGAGCTGGATTGATTTCATCCTGAGGGAGATGCCCAAGTTAGTGGCTGCTGGAGGTGTTGAGCAGGTGGGTCACCCCTCAGGGCACCCCAATGCTTGTTAAGGTGCCTCAGCTGAGAGGAGCGAAGGTTGCACTGGTGGGACTGGAGATGGGCGATGCTCTGCAGGGGCAAGTGCGCACCTTCGTCCCCTCCAGCCCTGCTTTGCTCTTACACGTGGACGGTGCCGAGGTGGCCTTTGGGCTCCCCCATGGGGTCTCAGTAGCAGGCAGAGGGGGGGCTGGGGGGGG